GGTTAAAAGATATTATATCTATAGTTCTGGTAACATATATAAACAAATGAAGCATATATATCCTTAGTTATCCATTTATTCATTTTTTTTAGGAGGAAGAGAGGCAGAGAGAGAGAGATGCAATTAATTAATGCCTATTTTTTAGATTAAGGAATTATTGAAAATTTTCTCATGTGGTCATGGTTTTGCAGTTATATAAAAGGTTTCTTATTTTTTGGAGATGCATGCTGGAAGACTTAGGGGTGATGCGCTATGATGTACTATCAGTGTGTGTGTGTGTGAGAGAGCATATGTGTGGGTACCAAGATAGGTATATACATACATACATATATAGATAGGTATATAGCTAGATAGATGCATACTATATACATACATAGTTACATACACCCATATGCACATTAGCTAGATAAATGATACATACATGCATACATTCATAGATAGATTAGATAGACAGGTGATGATAGATAGATAGATAGATAGATAGATAGATAGATAGATAGGGCAAACTGTTTATAATTGTTAAATGTAAGGGTGGGAGTATGAGTGCTCATGGGAAAAACATGAAGGACATAGGAACTACTGCTAAGTTAAAAAAATGTTTTTATTATTGCCAAGTGGAGGTCTTTTGAGGCCACTAAGAGAAGTGGGTCAGCGTGGCTTCTCCAGTCCCTCAAATCGGGTGGCAGGAACGAGGGGCAGGAGGGCAGGACCAGGCAAGGTCCACCAACGAGGAAGAGATGCAGGAAGGAGGAAGGAGCAATGGTGTGCTTGAGCAGGCCAGCATTAGACCCTCTGCACCGCATCTCCCTTGCATTCTGGCCCTCCTCCCTCATCGCAGGCCTTGCAGTACTGGGGAGCCAAACCAGAGCAAGGCCTGAGGGGCACCAAGACTGACGGCGGCAGGGGCAGTGGAAGGAAAGGCAAGGATGGCCGGACAGTACTGAATGCAGGGGGCTTGGCTGTGGGAGGCAGGTAGCCTGAGGGACAGAGAGAGGGTGAGCTTGGGATTGTTGCTACCACCCCCGCCCCCCACCCCCAAAATCACTGATGAGGAGAAGCACAGATGTTGGTTCTTTACCCTGTAGAGAAACACTCAAATCCCAATCCCACCCCCTTTTCCTGCTATGGCTGTCGGTGGTACTATAGACTCCCCAGCTTTGTGGGCCATGCAAGCAAGGAGAAAAGCTCTATCGAGTTTCCTGTGATGATCTTGACCAGAGATCCATGCCCTCCTGTGGAGTCAGCTAGCCCTCCCCACACCCTGCAGGAGTGAGGCATGGCCTGTATGCTTACCCCAGCAGGGCTTGAGACAGGCTTGGGGTGGAGTGTCACTCAGGCACCTGTCTGGTGCTGTCCCCCAGCACAGCTGATAGCAGGAGGGACCCAGGGATTCTGGAACAGGCAGGGCCACTGTGGTCACACTGCCAAGGGACTGCTAGAAAAAAGCAAGGGAACACCCTCAGCTGCCAGTGATACCTTCTGTTTAGCAGGACTGGGACCCCAGGGCTGCCCGCCCCCCGGAATGCACACTATGCAACTCCAGAGGGTGCCGTTCATATAGTAGACTGTGAGGATGGCACTTTCTGGAAGTGTGGGCTGTGGGGACCCCAGGGGAGTCATGAAATCTGGCTCAGGCCTTCACTGGGAATGGGAGAAGCAGTGAGCCCTCCAGTCTTCCAAGTCCATAAACTCCCCTCTTTCTTGGATACCTGTGCAGAGACGATCCCTGGGGAAGCACTCGGTACAGCCAGTCCCTGAGAAGCACCTACAAAGTGAGGGTGGATCCACTCAGAGGGAGAACCCGGCTCTAGGGAGGGGGGCGTGGCAGTGAGAGGCAAGAAGGTTCTGGGAAAGAGAGCAACTTCTGGCAGGGGTGAGAGAGGTGGATGCTACAACCCTCAACTGGCAGAGCCTTGGGAGACTAGGGAAGAAGGATTAAATTCCAGGGATGGTAAAATGAAGACACTGCAGCCCTGAAGAGCAGGGACTGTCCAGCATCTAACACAGGGCCTGGTACATGGGAGGGCCAAGTAAATGTTAGGTGGATGGATGGGTGGATGGATGGGTGGATG